ATACTCTGTATTTTACATCTCTATGAGGAAAGGATGAATAAAATGTAGCTTAATCTACGAAGCAAAAACGCAGCAACTACAATTGGATACAATAGAGTTTGTTTCAGGACCACGGACAGCACATTTTGCTTTCAGGACTGGACTTCCTTTCTTCAATCAAGCAAGTTGGCGACTTCAGGCTAGTTCAGACTACAGCCCCAAGAATGAGTGTTTTGCGTATGGCCTACAGCATTTAATGTACAACTGGCATATGAGAGAATACAAGTCGTAATAATGCTGATAGAGTAGAATTGGAGGAAAGGGAACAAATGTCTTTTATCAGAGAGCTTGTGTTATAGGATCCCCGCTGAGACTTCTTCCTTCTGAGATTGTTCTCTCGGAGGACTGAGCATTATGGAAATGTCTGATCATAACTTGAGGAATATTTCTTCCAACACAATCAATATTTCCACATTTATCCTCTGAAAGAGAACGTTTTCTTGCTTTGTGGGACGCCTGTAGAAGTGGGTATGTAAGATGAGCCGGTGGTAATTGATTTATTTCTGTTCAGTGGTGAGAATTTTTTTTTCTTCGTGAGATGAATTAGATTAAGCCACGTTGATACACGCAGGATAATGGATATTATGCATAAAGACAATGGAAATGGGTGATGGATGATGACAAACAAATCTAATCTGGGTTCCAAAGCAGGCAAGAATGGGAGAATCATAACTGAACAGTGCCGAAGGATCATTGCGTAGCACTCTGTCGAACGTCAGAGTGAAAATTCATTTCCTGAAATATTGACACCCAGGGAAGACGGATAAAAGAGACTGTGTATCATAGGGCAAAAAGACAGCAGGGCCAGACAGGAAAGTTGGGCCCCACAAACATCCAGACAGATTTTTGGCAATAAATATTCCATTTACATTAAATCATACACTGCTTTTTTGGGTCATTCCACAAAAAGGGTGCATTTTGTGTTTTTCGTAAACAAATACTTGATGTGTTAGCTTCATTTTTTTTTTTTTACATTTTAGTTAAAAAATAAGTACATTTAATCTAGTAATTTGGATTTTCTAGTATTATTAGTAGTATATTCCAAAATATAAAATAAACGCCATTTGCCATCTGTTTCTTTACATAATTTTTCATTTTATTGCACATAATATTTTATTTAAAAAATAATGTTACACATTCATAACAACCCGTTAATAAAATGATGAAGGGTCTCCTTTTTTGTTACTATAATACATTTTGTCAGGTTTGTCCAGCATGTTAGCACGAGTTTGTAGAGTAAACAACTTTCTACTGAAAACTAGATATATTTTTTTCTCTTTCTAAAAACACCTTACAGTGTCATGACCTTGAGCAAAAAAGGTCAGCATGACTAAATGAAGTACAACCTTGTCTCTTTTTAAAGGCACAGCTATTTAAAAAAAAAACATTAACAATGCTATTTAGTTACACTTCAAATAATAAAATAATCATTTAAAATACTATAGCTTTTCGAAACAGAAAAGACTTACATTTCGTGGAATGACCCTCATAATCTCCTCATCATGTTTCATCTCCATACCTGCAGAGGTAACAGCAGCGGCTCTTATTTACATGATGCAGTGTGAGGATATAGAGTTTAGGGAGCACAGCAGAAGTGAGAGGGCAATGAGGGCGGTAATAATTGCTCACTCCCAAACAATTCCACCAGTGACATCCCATTACTTTAAACACGACAAAATAAGGCCACCCGTGCGCGGAGAAAGAATTCACTGAATAAGACATGAAGGGAAAAGGCTGCCGTTATTAGCTGTGTAGGGTTCATCATTAGAAAGCAGTGAGACGGAGCATAATCCTTCACGGCGCGAATATAACTCTCCCGTTACTAGCAGTAATAACAGCGCAAGTGCAGCCCGCCGTCTGTGTTCGAGCACATACTCATTTAGCCTCTCTATAACAACCGAGAGACAATGAAAGCAACGTTACTTCATCATTTACCTCTGACAAGTGCGTACGAGCTACAAGATTGTGGCAAAACTCAGTGAGAGAGAAAGAAGAGCATATCTAAAGTGTTAAAACTATCGAAACTATTGTCCTAAAATGTATATATAACGTCCTGGATCTATTTTCACACATTTGAGCAAACTTGCAGTTAGGATAAATGCGCGTGTGTGAGAATTAGAGGGACGTCAACGTCTCCAGAATCATTAGTGGTGTTATATCGCCATCTAGCGGACTCAAAATACAAGTGCAAGTGATTTTGTAGTCATGTGGTACATTTTCATGCCTCCATCATATAATATCCCTCTTAATATAGTGTATATATTTATATATTTTTTAAATATGGAAATATGTGTTATGTTATTTTATTTTATCATATTTAAGTAACAATAATGGTCCTTAAAAATAATAAACTTTTTTTTTAGATGTAATTTTTTTCTGCCTATGTGTATAAAATGAAAAATTGGCAATATATTGAGGAATATTCTAGGCATTTCTTAATTTTTCTCCTAATCAAAATGTTTCAAACAACTTGGGAATATTGGTTTAAACAAGGTTTTTCTTGTCCTCAATCCCTGATTTGAGGTTTGAGGTCAGAGATTAAAGGGTTAGTTCACCCAAAAATGAAAATTAGGCTGTGTTTTACTCACCACCGATGCATCCTAGGTGTATATGACTTTCTTCTTTCAGACGAATCCATGCATTGCTTCAGTCCAAAAGAAGTTAAATAAAAAGCGCCCATCCATTTAAAAAAAAGTGTCTCACATGGCTCCAGGGGGTGAACAAAGGCCTCTGTAGCGAATCCATGCATGTTTGTAAGAAAAATATCCATATTCAAAACGTAATAATCACTTTAATCTAGCTTGCGCCAACAGTTGTACACAGAAGCAGTTCCGGGCTGATGACGTATGAGGTCAGCGTTGCGCATGCGCCGGCGAGTCTCGTGAAAACGCGAGACTATTAGCGCAAGCTAGATTAAAGTATATAAAAATAACGTGATTATTACGTTTTGAATATGGATATTTTTCTTACAAAAACGCATTGATTCGCTACAGGAGATTTTAATGGCAGTGACAGCACATCTCAAACCAGTGCACTTTTGCTGTCATAAGGTGTCTTTAACACAGAGAGAACAGCAGAAGTGCAAAGTCACTGAAAGCCATTCTTTATTCTTTACCATTATGATAAAGACTACAAGTACACAAAAATGTTTTAAATAGCTTCATTTCAGTTTAGAAAACCATTCAAACACAAAACAGATATTCAAAAACAGTAAAAAAATAAAATAAAATAAATTTGTTAAACAATAAAATATCATTATAGGATTTTATTAAATACTTTGTCTTCAACTCAAACCAGCACTAAAAATTCAGCAAATTTTGTTACTGTTTAGCCACTTTTTGAAGGGTCTGAGGATCTTAACACTGATCAAAAAATACTTTAGAAAATGGAGCAATACTCAACCAATATCTCAACGAGTGCAACAGGACTGGGGTCATGAATCCCTTAACATAGTTTCACATTTACAAAATGACTATTTTCACTGAACACAAATTAAAAGGTAACCGACACTGTAATAAATATAAAGCTGCTTTAATCTTCTTTGCCTTAATGCATTAAAAAAAAGCTAAATAAAAATGCTTTAAATGTGTTTTGACGTTTATTAAAAATGCTACCAAACTATGTGGGTGACCTCAACGTCCGTTCAGTACCCAATCACCTGATTTTCAGAATAAAAAGTGCTGTTTAAAGATGTCTTACAACCTTGTAATTATCTACTGACCTGGAATTTACTCCCTATATTGAAATTCAAACCTTTACCTTTATGGGGAAAAAAAGCTGCACTCAAATCAGGTTTAAAAGTGTAGTCTCTAAAACAAGCCCACATATACTTGAGGAGAGGTATATTAGACCACACAAAATACATCAACAATATGTCAAACCAACATGTCTGAGTCCTTCAACAAGATACTCAGCATCTCCACGTGCAGAACGTAACAGCTTGAGGATCAGTAACAGCGCAGATGGTTTTCTGAATTTAAAATGTGTTTTCACATATTAGTCATGCACTTTTCATTAGCACGGCTACATTTACAGAGTGCAGAGAGTTGGTAGGAGTGTATTCATCTATCGCCTGGCAAGAGAGCACTGTGTCTTACAGGCTACAGTTCATCTTGGGCCTGTTTTGCGCGCCATGCCGGGTGCCGGGTCACATGTTCAGCCGCTAGGACTAAACGCATGAACTCCTCTACATCAAAAGTGTAGTTTGTAAACTTAGGATGTTCCCCAAGAGTAGGATGATGACCCTAAGACAGGACAAAATATCAGTAAACAATATATAAGAACTTAATATACATACTACCAGTCAAAAGTTTTTGAACAGTAAGATTTTTCATAAATGCTGTTCTTCTGAACTTTTTATTCATCAAAGAAACCTGAAAAAATTATACTCAGCTGTTTTCAATATAATAATAATAATAAAAACTTTTTTGAGCAGCAAATCAGAATATTAGAATGATTTCTGAAGGATCATATGACTGGAGTAATGATGCTAAAAATTACATTTTAAAATGTATTCAAATAGAAAACAGTTATTTTAAATCCTTAATGCATTAAAAAAAAGCTAAATAAAAATGCTTTAAATGTGTTTTGACGTTTATTAAAAATGCTACCAAACTATGTGGGTGACCTCAACGTCCGTTCAGTACCCAATCACCTGATTTTCAGAATAAAAAGTGCTGTTTAAAGATGTCTTACAACCTTGTAATTATCTACTGACCTGGAATTTACTCCCTATATTGAAATTCAAACCTTTACCTTTATGGGGAAAAAAAGCTGCACTCAAATCAGGTTTAAAAGTGTAGTCTCTAAAACAAGCCCACATATACTTGAGGAGAGGTATATTAGACCACACAAAATACATCAACAATATGTCAAACCAACATGTCTGAGTCCTTCAACAAGATACTCAGCATCTCCACGTGCAGAACGTAACAGCTTGAGGATCAGTAACAGCGCAGATGGTTTTCTGAATTTAAAATGTGTTTTCACATATTAGTCATGCACTTTTCATTAGCACGGCTACATTTACAGAGTGCAGAGAGTTGGTAGGAGTGTATTCATCTATCGCCTGGCAAGAGAGCACTGTGTCTTACAGGCTACAGTTCATCTTGGGCCTGTTTTGCGCGCCATGCCGGGTGCCGGGTCACATGTTCAGCCGCTAGGACTAAACGCATGAACTCCTCTACATCAAAAGTGTAGTTTGTAAACTTAGGATGTTCCCCAAGAGTAGGATGATGACCCTAAGACAGGACAAAATATCAGTAAACAATATATAAGAACTTAATATACATACTACCAGTCAAAAGTTTTTGAACAGTAAGATTTTTCATGCTTTTTAAAGAATTCTCTTCTGCTCACCAAGCCTGCATTTATTTGATCCAAAATACAGCAAAAGCAGTAATACTGTGAAATATTTACTGTTTAAAATAACTGCTTTCCGTTTTAAATATATTTTAAAATGTAATTTATTCCATTGATCAAAGCTAAATTTTTTAGCATCATTACTCCAGTCTTCAGTGTCACCTGATCC